GAAACTACGTGATGACAAAACATGAAAATGCCAAACTAACATGCTGAACAGGCTAATTTTCAGGGTCTATTACCACTGATTTACACACAAACTTGGTTTACCATGCTGTTCCTGTTCACGGTTATCTTACCCATGCAGGTGGCCACAGTTGGCCTAAGGCTCACACCATAAAATCCAGATAAAGCACCCAGCCAGATGGCCTTCACCACCACCAGCAAATCCCTAAAGCTTTTAAAAAAGTGGGGAAAACAAGAATAAAAAACAGTAGACTGTCCACGAGATATTAAGCCTGCAACTTCCTGGCCTTCACATGACAAAATCACTGTTTTCCATCGAGGTTTCAGGCTCTCCTTCCCTCTTTCCCTCCTACAGAATCGTTTTCACATTTCACTACCCCCAACTCTGCCACACAGATTACTACCTAAGGGACTTAATGAAGGGAATCTCGTTAGCCGTGGCAGGGAATGCACCTGATGAGTCACGTGTCAGGGGCGAAGCTTTAGACGTGATATTGAGTGCTGAAGTTTGTTTAAAGGGAGAGCATAGTTTCCTGCATCATAGACTTTTTTATCCACAAACACAGTTTTAAAAGTTGCAGTGTAATACATTACTCCTGATTTCTTTCTTCTTCTTTTTTAAATATATGCACTCAAAAAAGGATTTCTCACCCTCATTAAAAATTGAAGCAAGAATCTTGAATAAAACACAACATAATATAAAATCAAAGGGTTATTTATGTAGTAATTAACCATTAGGGGAAATGTGATCGGTATACCAAACCAAACTAGATTCCAGTAAATGTAACATTTTACCTTCTACTTATGTAACAAATTACATGGAAAATGTACATGCAATCAAATTACTTAAAGACAGCTTCCCAGCAGAAATATTATCTGAGGCAGAGGGCATGAGTGTAAAAAACAAAACCTAAAAAAACAACCTTCACCGGGTCATTTCTTTCCTCTCTGTTCAGTTTCACTCTGTTCAGTTTCACTTAGGATAACTACAGACAAAGAGGATTGTTTGCTATTAGTATTGTCACAGGTGTATTAGGCACTCCTGTAAAAACAACTCGTTAACACGAATATCTAAGCAGCCAGTCACGTGGCTGCACCTCAGTACATTTAGGTATGTAGACACAGTCTTTTAATGGGAGATACAACACTGAAATACACACAGAGAAAAACAATAGCAGTTCTAGCTAGTCACAGTATCACATATTTAGCAAATATTTTATTAAATACCCCCATTCAACTGCTAATTAAGGTAGATATCTAATTGCCAATCACATAAAAGCATCTCAGTACAAATGGAAACACAATCCTTTATTAAGTCAAGGGGGAGCGTTTGCATAAAGTTATCCTTCCACTGCTGAAACGTGAGATTGAACCAGGGACCTAACGTTCTTCCAAATGAGCTGTTTCAGCATTTCTGTTTGTGTCTGTTGCTGCACTTTACTCCAATGGTATCCAAAGTCATTGGATCTCAATGTGCATTGTAGATAATGTTACCACGTCAATATGAACCAAAATCTCTGGGGAAGGATTGCAACACCATGTTAAGTGACTGGTCTGTGCATTTATCAGTGTTGTTATGGTGACCTACAAACCATGTGCAAACACAGACCATGAGGCAGGGGATGGGCCAAACTGATTTATTATAAATCTCTGATGGAAGGGCAGAGGGCCAGGGGTTGCCAGCAGGCAAGAACAAAGCCAGATGTGGAGGCTGAGCTGATGGCTGAGAGCCTGAAGATGCGAGGGAGAGGTTAGTGAGCTGGCTGCTGAGAAAGACACTGAAGCCAGAGCAGAGGAGACTGCAAAACACTAAAGGCAGGATGGCTCAGAGAATCTATCCAAACATTTAGCAAAAGTAACAAGAGACATGGTCACAGAAACACCAACCTGAGTGGAAACATCAGTTCTGAGGATATGTAGCGGTCTCATTTAAAGAACTGGCTGCAGCTGGTGAGGCTCTGCTTTGACCCCAACACACCTCTTTCAACAACTACATCCCTACAGAGAAAAGGAGAAAGGGAAAGAGGAAGAGAGAGACCTCTGAAAGTGATAGCAGGTCAGCCTGACCCAGAATTAGATGCTGAGGGTGAGTCACTGGCTCAATGTCTTGTACGGCTGCTCTGGGACTTCCCTGCACTTCCATATGAGTACACAGAGAGCAGCAGCAAGTCTCCCCTTCAGTGGCAACAGGTATTAATTATGCTGGACACAGAATGAAAAGAAGGAGCTTATAAACAGCCTAATTCTCTTCCAATGATGTGCTCTCCATGAGACAGTAAATTAGGCCTGACTTTTCTGCATCCTGAATTGATGCTGTGTTTAATTCATTTCATTTCCACCAACTACAGTTAGCAAAATATTTTTACCAATAACTATCATTACTACTAACAGGAGGAAAAAAGAGTTTGAACATGGCTTTAAATGTTATCATTTGTCTCCAGTTTCTAAAAATA